GGGCAACAGCAGGGCATGGATAACGGGTCGATCGCCAAACCCAGACCCGTGGCACGCCCGAGATGGGTGAGGAACAGATGGGCAAGGTGCTCAACCACGAGTGAAGTCTAAAACCGAAGAGGCTGCTGTTGGGCAAGCGTTTCTTGCATGAACGGGACAGCGCCCGCGGTGACGCTGGAAGCGAGCCCTATTCAGCATGGCCAAGAACGGCTGTGGGTCTTCATCGCAATTATTTCCGTACTCATTTCGATCGCATCAGCCAGCCATCCAGTGGTACACGAGACCCCACCCTGCGAATGCCACGCGCCCAACTTTTTTCTGGAACTCTCGGATTGGACTTTGCCTTGGCCGCATCCGCCCTCTGATATATCCGCCAGCGTGCCATAGGCACCGAACGAAGCATCGTCAAGGTTCCTCGAACTCTCTGTGTTGAATGCTGAATATTGTACATTTTATGTGAAGGCCCAGGCCCCAGATGTTCCTGAACTTGTGGCCGTTCCTGGCGCTCTCTGGCGCTCATGCGGTTGATCGCAGGACTTAACCTGTGGCCTTGAGAGTGCAGTTCGGAGCCCAGACTTCCAACATTCCCCAAGAGATTCCCTGGGGGCATGCCCAAAAGCCGTCTTGGGAGTGCACTGGGCCGTCTTGGAGGCCCTGGGGGCTTGCCCAAGAGGCCCGAATCACTGAAACGCCGTTGCATCATGGTTGCATGTCTGCGCGTTCCCGCTTGATAAAACGGCCTAAGACGGCCCCCGACATCGCCCCAGGACGGCCCCCGAGAGGGGCCCAAGAGGCCCCGTGAAGGCCTCAAGAGAGGCTCAAGAGAGGGAGCTCGACGGGGCCTTCGGGGCCGAGGAACAAGCTTTCACTGGCCAGATGCGACCCTTCACAGGCTAGATTAAAGGAGCCCAGGGACACACAGATAAATGAACACAAATCCCAGGATTCCCTATGTTTGCTCATATTTATGGATGTTCGTCTTCCCCTCCACTTCCCATATATTCCCGTATTTTCCTCAGGATCGACGATTAGTTGTGTCTGTGTCATTGTTTCCCTCCTGATAGATGGGACCCTGCACCAGTTGACCGTCTGCTGGTGAAGACCTTTCACCAGCTGGCCAGTTCGGCCTCCTTGGGCCTTCTACGTTTCAACAAGGCGAACCCTCCTGTGAAGCCTCCTTTGGCCACCTGCAGTTTCACAGGGCGAACTCTCATATCAAGCATCCTTGGGCCACCTACGTTTTAACAAGGCGAACCCGCTTATCGAGTCTGCTTGGGCCTCCTGCGCCTTCACAGGGCGAACCCTCCTATCAAGTCTCCCTGGGCCTCCTACTTTTCACAGGGCGAACCTTCCTATTGGATCCATCCTCTGAGCCTCGTAATCACCGATGTCATCCTCATCGTTCTCCTTACGTTCCTCGCGCTGTCTATCCTCACCCTCGTCGTCTTCCTCACACTCCTAGTAGTCCTCCTGATGTTCCTCCATCGTCGTCCTCCTCCTGATGCTACTTCATCGTCCTCCTCACCGTCATCGGCCGTACGATTTTCTCGTCCTCATGATATTCGTCGCCCTGTCCATCCTTATCCTCATCGAACTCCTCATGGACCTCCTCTTCTCCATCCCCCCGATCCTCCTCATCGCCCTCTTGATCCTCATCGAGTTCATCATGTTCGTTATCTTGCTTGAGGGGGGTGGAGGAGATGAGGCGAGGAAACGCGGAGGCGGAGGTGGAAAAAGTATTGGTGGGTCTCTTCACCGGCCATGTGGGACCCTTCACCAGCCATGCGTTACTTTTCACTTTGCTAATATTTTCACTGGCTGATTGGGCTCTTAACCGGCCACGCCTGTGAGTTCCAATTTGATTGCAATCTCCATGTCAGGCACCAGGAACGAAGAAGCAGTGAAGGGTCGCCGCTCGCGCTTTTGTGGAGGCTGGTGCAGTGACCTAGTCTGGCTCTGCACCAAGGTGGCAACCGCTGTGGTACCACAGTTACCTCAGTGATGTCATCACACGTTCACTCATTACATGAGATGTTCGGTGATTGGTGTGCTAGCGATCGTTCTGTTCAAAAGCCTCCTGGGCACCTTGCAGAACGACGGGGACGAGAACACGGGGCTGGCCTTGCCCCTGGTGGGCGGCCGATCTGTCATCATCGTCGTCCTCGTCGTCAGTACCACTCGGAGCCAGTCGCGTCTGACGAGTACTCAGATGTCCTGTAGATCAAACCTCGGGCCCTTCTGCATTCCTCAGACATCGGTCTTTTCCCGCTCTACCTCCTCCCACCGCCTCCAGGTACAGGCACACGAAAGGACCCCGAGAGGCCTTCGAGGCGACCCCAAGATGCCGGGCACGGTGGCGGGGATGGGCCGAAGGTCACTACGCAGATAATATTGTCAATGCAAACAAAGAGCGCTCGCGCGGACGGGCCCCAGCGCCAGCGCTCCTACCAAGCCATCCCTCATGTCGAATCCAGCTCTCAGACCGATGAGCTGGGCTGCCAAGTCTACACTCCTCGGTGCTCGCCGCGGGCCTGCGCTCGCAGGAGCCTCAGTATGGCCCCCACTTGCCCTTCCCCCCGCCCTTGGCGGCCATCATGCTCATCATCATGCTCATCATCTGCGACTGGTCCCACGCGTCGCCACCGCTGCCCCACGAGCCTCCGCCCGCGCCCCAGGACGCCTGGCCCGCCTTTCTCGGGTCGGGCCGCGCGGCCTTGGTGTCGACGCCCTGGGCCTCCAGCTCCTTCTGGATGGCGTCTGACGTCAGGGGGACGAACAATGACGTGAACGTGAAAACCCTGAGATCCACGCGGATTTCTCGGATCGGCGCTGGACCCCCCTCCCTGGCGCGCTCTGCGCGCCAGGGCCGCCGCCGGAGGCGCCGCCAGGGGGTCCATCGCGGATCCGAGAAACTCGCGCGGACCTCGGAGCTTTCCATGTTTATTTAAGGGGTGAAAAAACGACCCTACCCTGGGTTACAAGTGCGTGGTCTGTAAACCTCCTGGGAAACCCTAAAGCCTAGAGCCGCCAGGACGCGGCACATCACGCAGGGTTTACCCTGTCAGCCCACAGGAGTTTCAGCGCACAGCGCCTCGTAAACCAGGGTAGGGGCGTTTTTTCTACCCTTGATTTATGTCATTCTTCGTTCCCCTAGATGTCTCGAAGTCCCTGGCGCGCTTCGCCTGAACCCACTCGTCGAGCCTGGCCTCCGTCGCCGCGTCGTACGTGGGCGGCGCAGCCGCTGCCCCACCGCCACCCCACGAGCCTCCGCCCCCGCCCCACGCTCCTGCAGGCAGGAATGAAGCGGAGGAAGAGGAGGAGGAGGAGGAGGAGGAGGAGGAGGAGTAGGAGGAGTAGGAGTAGGAATAGTAGGAGGAGGAGGAGGACGAGGAGGAGTAGGAGGAGTAGGAGTAGGAGGAGGAGGAGGAGTAGGAGTAGGAGTAGGAGGAGGAGGAGGAGGAGGAGGAGTAGGAGTAGGAGGAGTAGGAGTAGGAGTAGGAGGAGGAGGAGGGGGAGGAGGAGGAGGAAGAGGAGGAGGAAGAGGAGGAGGAAGAGGAGGGTCCCGGACCCCGGGGGGGACCCCAGGGCCGGCTCTTCCTCCCAGGTCGCGTCTCCCTGATAGCGCTTCGCTAGAGGGCTCCGCCAGAGGCAGACAGGGACCACGGAAGAGTCACACCAGGAGGGGCGGGAAGCGGCTGCGGTTCGCCGAGGGCGCTGCAGAGCCGCTGGGGTCGCCACGGACCTCTTGGGCACAACATTTCCACGTCCAAGCGCAACATGCAGCGCGGAAGCGAGCACAGGGAGGGAGGAGGGAGGAGGAGGGAGGAGGAGGGAGGAGGGAGGAGGGAGGAGGGAGGAGGGAGGAGGAGGAGGGAGGAGGGAGGAGGGAGGAGGGGGGAGGAGGAGGAGGAGGAGGAGGGAGGAGGAGGAGGGAGGAGGAGGAGGAGGAGGAGAGGAGGAGGAGGAGGAGGGGAGGAGGAGGAGGGGGGCGGGAAGCCCGAGACCGGCCGGTGAGGCCGCCCGGTCCAGAGGCTGTCCAGCAGCCGTTTCGCCCGAGACTGCACAGTGCCGACTACCTCCAAAGGGGCCCAGGGACACACGAATAAATGCACACGAATCTCAGTGTTCCCCATATTTCCCCATATTTTCTGGGTTTTCGTCTTCCCCCCCCCACTGCCCATGTTCTCCCATATCCTCCTGGGAAGCGACGACTCGTTGTGTCTGTGTGTTGCACGGCCCTTCCCCTCCTGAACCTCTTCGGCCCGCACGGCCACGACCCCCTCGACAAGAGAACACTGCAGCGCGCGCGCGGCCGCGCCCCCGCCCCACGCCCCCTGCCGCCGACCTCGTGCTCCCCGGCCCGCCCCATTCGCCTCTCCTGCCACGACGGGCGCTCTGCTGGGGCAGTCTGGCGGCCCCGGGGGCCCCGGGGGCACACGGCCCCCACCACGGCCCCCACCACGGCCCCGCCATCCCCGCTGTCCCCACCGCCCCCACCGCCGTGCCACTGTCCCGTTGTCCCCACTGTCCCCACCGCCGTCTCACTGTCCAGCGTGGGGGAGGAGGGGGAGCCGTCGGCGAGGGAGGGGGGTTAGGGGGCAGGAGAGCCCAGAATCGAATCGACGAGTCGGATCGGCGATCGACACGAATCGGGTCGGCGGAGATCGGCAGCCGAGTCGGAAAAGGTCGCATCGGCGGAAATCGGCAGGCGAGTAGGCCTTCAATGAGAAATCGGAACCCAAATCGGAATCCCAGGACGAATGGAATCGGAATCGGAAGCCATCGACATCGAACCGAGTCGAATCGGAGGAGTCGACACGAGCCCTGTGGGGGGGGGGCCCGAGGCCCTTTGCTCCCGCGCGGGCTCCTGCCCCCCACGAGCCTCCGCCCGCGCCCCACGAGCCTCCGGCCTTCCTCGGATCTGGCCGCGCCTCCTTGCAGTTGACGCCCTGGGCCTCCAGCTCCGCCTGGATGGCGTCCGACGTCGTGAAGTCCCTGGC